TTTCCTGCCTCAGCCTTCCAAGTAGCTGAGGCGCCCAGCTATTTTTTGGTTATACTTATTGTTTGGCAGGCCTGGGCTGGATTTGAACCTGCCAGCTCTGCTGTATGTGGCTGGCACCTTCGCCTCTTGAGCTACAGGCACCGAGCCTGATTTTAGTGTCTTTTATTTTGTATGTATTCTATCCTGTTACCGTGTTTCCCCCCAATTAAGACACTGTCTTATAGTTATTTTTCTGAGGAAGACACACTAGGGCTTATTTTTTTTTTTTTTTTGCAGTTTTTGGCCAGAGCTGGGCTTGAACCCACCACCTCCAGCGTATAGGGTCAGCACCCTACTCCTTTGAGCCACAGGCACTGCCCAATACTAGGGCTTATTTTCAGGGGATGTCTTATTAAGTATAATACAGCAATCTACATTTATTCAAATACAGTTAAGTCATCTTCCTCTGGAACCTGGAAGGGGGAGCCGACGTTGTTGGTGGGGCTGGCACTAGTGATGTGTGAACACCTTTCCCCTAGCTGTTTGCATGTGTGCAATAGGATGCCTGCAACCATGGTTACCACACGTGCACATGCGCACATGTGCACCCACACAAGTGCAAAGGGCTTGGAGAAAGGAACTGTGGCAGATAAAAGGTATTCCAGTCTTCCTTACTGCTCCTTGCCCAAATGCATGGCATGGTTATGCAGCGTATCTAGGCCTTATTATCGGGGTAGGGCTTATATTTAACAAATGCATAGAAATCCTGCTAGAGCTTATTTTTGGGGTAGGTCTTATTTTTCAGGGAAACGTGGTATGGCTTCTTGCTTTTGTGCCATATATTGGAATCCCTTTCCCATTTAAATTATAAAAAATATTTTTCTCCCAGCCAGGGTCTGTAGTTAGCTACTGAGAAGTGGCTGGCTGGTACAGCAGCTGCTTCACTGGGGAGTTTCCTTTGCCTCTTTGGACTTTGAGAGAGCCTCTCTGGGTTCCTTTCTCCCATGTATCTAAGTTGGTCTGCTGGTAGGTGAGTACTCAGCAGGAGCTACACCTGCGGCATTGGCAACGTGAAGAGCCTTAGTCACCTGGGTACTTATTCATGAAGGTTGGTAGACATGCTGCCCTTGGGCTTTGTAAGCTGGGAAAGCTGAGTGAGTGCCCATGGGCAGCCTGCAGCCTTTTTGGCTCAGGTTTGAGGCTCTGTCTAGGAACTGGACTCCAGGGACCAGTTGCCCTGAGAAGTGCATGAAGCTACTGACCGTTATACAGATAGTGCCAGCCCACTGAGGATATTATTGAAGATAAATGTGGATGGGCTTTGAAAAAAAAATTCTCTGGTATTTTCTTCTAGTGTTTATGTATATATATATTTTTAGATCTTTAGTCTAGATTATCTAGTGTTTCTTTGTACTTATGGCATGAGTTAGGAACCTAAATTTTTTTCTGTTTAGCTATTTTCTCAGTAAATTTACTGAATAATTCATCTTTTTCTCATGTTATATGATAAATTCTCATGGGTATGCTTCTGAACTTGTCACATGCTGTTCTGTTGACCAGTTTCATTTATTCTTGTGAACTGCTCTGTTTTTATTATTGATGCTTTGTAGAAAGTTTTGGTATCTGTTAGGGCAAGATCCCTCTTTTTGTTTTTCCCCATTTTCTTGTCTATTTTCATGAACTTTATTTCAGGATGAACTTTCCTTAAGGAAATTTGTAGCCCAGATCCTTGTGGCATTATAAGTAACTTCTGGAAATGATAGTGCCCATATCATGAACCTCTTGTGTTTTCCTG